CACAAGCAGGTATCTGCAGGAGGAAGGAACTGAAGGTGCTCAACAGTTGGCCGTTGAGTGGTAAGTTTCTGCACCCACGAGATGGTGGAAGAAGACCCAAGGACACGGAAGAACCAATCAGCTGGCTACAACACATTCTGTGCTCATCCTCATGTAAATAGTATCAGTACACTGGATCAGGGACAGGCGGTCAGTCAGACTTTATGTCCTGACATTAACTGTGTTGGTGCTACGGTGAGCAGTCTGATCCAGAGCTCTGTATGCTTATTCAACTATCTGCTAAATAAATACTTTGAGTGAGACCTAAATATCTTCTCTTCATTAAACGAATGCGCAGGAGCTATGTCACTCATAGTTTGATTTCAGCTCCAACAGAAGTCATCCCTCAAATATCATTTTATCTTTAGAAAACGGTAAATTTCCCCAAACCAGCAGATTTAACCAAACGTTACCCAGTCACGAGCACACAGTGCATCTGTTAAGAACTATTTTCAGCTGCAGATTTGCAGACATTTGGTGCTCTAGAACAGTGGTTCTCAAACTATTTGAGCCACGACCCCCAAGATAACATAAGTCTGTGTTCATGACCCCCCAGTTTGAATTTTTTAATATATCATGAGTAATAACTTTGTTGTTCATGCATTAATGCATTAAAAATTCATCTGTTAATTCCACAGATTAATCTCTTTACATGAACATGTTAATTTTCTTTTGAATGAATTGAATTTATTTCGGACAAATGAAAGGGAAAAAAAATATAAAAACAAAAGAAAATAATTTTACAAAGAGTAAAAAAAAGGAAGAATATTGCATAATTAAATCATAATATTAACAAGTTAAAAAAAAGGAGCGGGGAGAAGTATATGCTTTTACTTTTGACAGCCCAAATACAAAAGTATTTGATAAATGTCAGCTTTATTTATTTATTTTTTACAGTGATCTGGCGACCCCCTGAAATGATCTTAGGACCCTCATAGGGGTCCCAACCCCCAGTTTGAGAACCACTGCTCTAGAAAGTATTTACAGCAGCAGGGCAGCGTCAGAGTTCACTGAAACAATGGAGCGCTGCGACACAGAAACACGGGTTTAGATTTCAGGGTAGAACCCAGGGGATGCGTCCTACTCAATATTTAGAACGTGTGCATTTATCCCTGCAAAAAAAAAAACAAAAAAACAAACCAAAACCATGAACAAACGTCCCTCACAGACAACACAGAGTGATGCAGAGGAGGCACAGGGGCAGGCTTTAGATCTATTATTCGTTTATATATAACAATCCTTGATTATAACTCTAATTAAAAGTTAATCCAAATAAATAAAAGCCACAACGTTTCTATGGTACTGCTTGCAAAGTTTAATACATCACTATACAGTTTGTCTTAAAGCAACAAAAGTAAACCATTAAAAAATGAAATCAAAAGTACAATTACACACTCAGCATTTTGTACATATGTGCCCCAAGCATCCACGTGACTCGTTAGAACTCAAGTTTGTGTTAAATATATATATACTGTATGTATTCATATATTTCAATATAGTCATGATGTCTGTACAGAGGGAATCAGGCTACAAATTATAACTTTATCAGTTCTTTTTAATATTATATCAATAACAGGCCACTGTGGAAATGTAGACATCGTACAGTCAAGTCTTGTGTGTAGCCCATTCAGAAGGCTTAAAGCAACATGTTACATGCTTTGGCTGTAAAACAAACTTCTCGCAGTAATCATAATAATAATCATAATAATAATCATAATAATAATGGTTTAAATCTGAATAATATACACACATACACAGAAAATTGTACATAGCATCATGGGCTTGTTATCCTGTCGTATTTTTAACTTGGAGATCTGGTGAGATAGTTTCACATTTTCTGTTGAGGGTGAAAGATGAAGCGGTAACGTCACCCCGCTCGGAGGAGATGTGCGTTTTCCCAGGAACACCGAAACTACGGCCTTTTATGCCCTCGGGTTGAGGTGGGGAAAAAAAAAAAAAAAAAAAAGAGGGAAAACGCACTCATCCAGGAACCGTGATGTTTAACAAACAGCAGCATGTGAGGAAAACGAGACCAGACAGGAAAGCAAACAAGGCTCCGTGCTATAGCTACAGCGACGCGTCCTCCTCTGTAGCGTTAAAGGCAGCAAATTATGACAAAGGACAGAACATCATGGGGTGCCTGATTGCCACATCTGATACAGGAATGACAGTTTTAAGGAGGGGGGGAAAAAATATGGAAGACGATGCGAAACAAAGTACCCTCATTCATTTTTCGTTACAGACGCAGCAGCTCTTGGCTCACGGTGTGCATCCTCTCCCGTCACTCGTAGGTTCACAATGGCACAGTGTGCTTTCTCTCATTCGGAAACACTCTTCAGCATCAAGCTATTTGTTCAAGTCAAATACCAGGCAGCCAGCGCTCTCTTATTTAGATTATAGCAAGCAAGAGGGGTTTGTCTGACCTGTGTTATAATCATCATAGTTACAGTAAGAATCCCAACAATATCTGGGAAAAAAAGGAAAGGGAACATTATGTCAGAGGTGGGATGCAGTTATTTAAAAAGATGTAAACAAAGACTGCTGATTTCCCCAGGAAGCACGATTGGACCCAAAAGGTGAGTTTTCACAGCACAATCTGTGGCAAAGCAACAGTTTGGTGGTAAATAACACCCTGATTATTTTAGGGATTCAGATTGAACATATGCAGCGTAGGGAGAGAGAAAAGAAGTTTGTGTTTTCTCTCGTCGGCTGCTTTTGATGGGGTAAGACGCTCAGATCAGGAGAAATCCATTATAGCATCAGCAAACTGTCAGCGTCACACTTCCAGTTTGTATTCTGATGTTATTAAAATCTGCACGTGCAATTTAGAGATCAGGAGAAAATCAGAATACAGCGACGGCTGCGGTGGCCGATTCATACTGAGTTCAAGAACTGAAAGAGGGGGATAAAGGGGGGGGAGAACACTGGAGCAGGATTTCAGTGGTTTTTAGTGCGTGTCTCGGCCTGTGTAGGTTAATGTCTAAAGCGTGACACAAGCAGCTCTGTACACAATGGTCTGAGATCATTAAGAACAATTCAAGTAAGGCAACATGTTGACATGAGATGACGGAATGGATGCTGTATGTTTTTTTTTTTTTACACATTTTGTTTTTTCTATTTACTCTTTAAATTTGTGTCATGTGCAGTGATGTGGGCTCACCTCCATCCTCGGAGAGCAGAGCATCGTGGGTAAAGCTCCGCTCTCTGAAAACAACCTACAGTTCAGCCTGTGTGAGTAAAAACAACCTCGAATGCGTCAAAACACCAAAGCACAAAAGTTCCACGTGGGTGATGGAACGACTCTGCTAAATTCTACAGAAAGTGAATGGACTTCTGTATGTGGAGGCGGTGTTAAGCGTTGACTAAGAACTCCTTCACAAAACAGCCACCTGACTGTCCCCCCCCTGAGCCTGGCTGGCTTCTCGACACACCAAACAGCTACAACAGTCGGACCTCCAGAGGTGATTCGTATGTAAACTTTGTCACTCGATGTTTGCTGCGTGGTTCAGTGCGAGTGATTGGCGAAGGAAAATACCAGCAAGTCTAGTGGAAGAAGTGGTGAAGCTGTTGTGGTTGGCAGTTTTACTGACATTCAGCCTGCTCTACTTTGAATATGTGTGTGTGTGTGTGTGTGTGTGAGAACAGAGAGAATTTGGCAGAAAGCGTAACAACCAGTGAATTCTATTTAAAAAAAAGTCCTCCTGGTCAGCGTGTTCACGTCGTCGCTCCCAGACCAGATTGTCCTTTCGTTCGTTCGTCGTAGTGCAGGATGGTACAGCGATAATATCAGTAGTGCTACAGATAGCCGCGGTCGACCCGACAGCCAGGGGGGGAGCCGGGCTGTGCGGTTTTTCAGTGGACCCGAGCCGCCGACGAGTCTGCTTTACATTTATCAGGCTGATTGAGACGCCAGAGTGGTTTATCCGGCAGATCCTCCACCCACGCGGCGGAGGCTGCTGGAGGTTAGTCGGATGATGAGGGGGGGGGGCGTGGAGGAGGGTTCATGGCACTGATTTTCCATTTCAGTCAGTCCTGTTTTTGTTTTTTCTTTGCATCCACACCGCCGCCGCTGAAGCCAAGAGAGGAACTCTGAGCAGCTCCAGAGAAAGCTTCATCTTTTTTTTGCCTGCGTCCATGAAAAGATGAGGGTTTCTGCTGTGAGTGACGCTCCTGCAGGTCTGTGTAAGTCGGGCGAGACTGTGTGAGGTCCACCCTCCTCGTTATCCATCACACTCGTCTGCAGGGACACTGAAGGAGAACAAAGACATTATCATCCAAACCAGATCACAGCCCTGATCAAAGGTGCTGTTCTCCCGCGGTCGCCGTTTGATTTAGAGGAATTATGGAGGGAAAAAAAAAGGCAAAATGTTGTGGAGTTTAGGGCAGCAGGAGCAGTAAAGACTAAGAAATGGAGGTAAAGGATAAAGATGCGGGCAGTGCTGGGAGCACAGTGCAGCTCTGGACAGGGGCAGATTGGAAAGTGTAGCCCCTCCCCCCCCTCGGACAATAAGTAATGGATCCTCCTCTACGGCTTGAGGCAGATGAAAAGGTAGAAGAGAAGGAGGAAGGGAGCAGGGACAGTGCAGTGGAGTGTTGGGAAACGGTGAGGAGGCACTTACTTGTCCTCTGTGTGCTCAGGGATGCCGGCGGCAGCCAGCGCAGCTCGGTACTGCAGCAGAACGCCGCGGACGCTCTTCACAAACCCCTTCGAAAGCGGGAAGAGAGGAAAGCCGATGTCCGGGTAGCCGCTGCCCTCAGGGAGGAAACTCCGGTAGCTCTTTCTCCTTTTCTTTGGTCGCACCACTGGCTGGCTTCCTGAAGAGCCCACGCCTCCTGCACTGACCGCGGCAGAACCAGATTCTGACGTCCCACTGCGGACTAAGGAGCCGGCGGCTGTAGAACCACTCCTGTTCTCGCCCAGAGAGGAGCTGACCTGGGTGCTGTCGCAGTCTGAGTTCTGGCTCAGCTCCTGAGAGGCTGCTGTGGTGGAGGGACTCAGCCCTGAATCCTCCAGCTCCTCCTCCATAATACTGCTGACTCCTGCCCCCGCGGCCCCCTCCTCCCCAGGCTTACTGGGGCTGCTGTGGGCCACCGCCAAGGGCCCCAACCCCAGGGGCAGCTGCTCGTCCAGAGGCTCCACAGACGAGGATCGGTCCTTGGAGTGGTAAGCCCTGGAGTGCGCTGCGTGTCCTCTTTCGGAGGCTTCGTTCAGCTCCAGCCACGCCTCCAGACGGTGGACGAGCCGCCAGCCGTTGGACACAAAGTGCTCCTGGATCTCCTGTTTGAAGACCTCCACGGGATTCTGGAGGAGCTGCGTCATCGACTGCACCATCTTGATCAGAGCCATTTCGTTGTAGCAGCGGCTGTTCTCGTATCCCTCCTGCAGGCCTCGGTCGCTGTCGAAGCCGGCCTCGTTGTAGTAAGGCTCGTTGACGAGGATAAGGCCTGCAGGGAGGAGGCATGAAACACAGCAAAGAAATGTACACGTAAGAAACCTGGCAGCAAAATTCCTACAAAACAACAACAACAAAAAGTCAAAGATAAAAGTCAGGATCGTGAAAACTATTTCTAAATTTGTGCTTCATCATTTTAAACCTCTGAACCTGAAGATTTTTGTCACTGTGGGCTCATTTCTCACTGCAATACAAAGTCCTGCACCTCTATGGAAACAACACAACCATGAATAGAAGTAGAGAGAAGCTAAATAAAAGCAGATTTCCTTTATGATGCATTAAAAAAAAACAAATTTACTCACCACATACATTTTTACCAACAGGTGTTACAGGCACAGGAAAAAATGTCACTGCACACCATAGATATTATTTACAGGTTTAATTAATCCAAAAAAAACCCCTCAGTTCTTGTCACATGACTTTTTGGTCACAGCTAAGTCACTAATAACTTAACGGTTGCACTAAGAAGCCAAGAATTTGTTTATTTATTTTTTACAGATTCTAGTTTCAGCACACAATTTATTTTGGGGATTTTTTTTAAATGAGACAATTTCAAAAACAGTGATTTTATTAAAGTATCACTACTATAGGCTGAGATTTGCTTCATTTCCAGACAAAATCCACCCAAAAGCCGCTCCTGATCAGCTCAAGCACCGTCGCAAAGTTGAAAATCTGATGCTACTTTCTGTTTTTCCAGTTCACGGCTCTGATAAATGCTGCAGTTCAAAGATAACCTGCCTTTTGAACGCTCCAGTAAGTTTCAGGGTTCAGGGGAGGTTAACTGGAAAAAAAAAAATAAGTGAATTAAAACCTGGACTCGATTCGTCTGTCGGGACCAGACTGCAGAGAGGTTTAACAGAGGCGATGTCGTGTCTGTGTGAGAGGCAGTTTTATTTAGCTGAATGACTGGGTGCGACCCGGCACTTCTGAGCAAATGAACGCATGAATAAAACATTTTTCAGCTGCAGAGGAGAGGACGGGAATGCAGGAGTGTGTGGTCGCACTGACCTTGTATGGAGATGAGGACCTGCAGCAGGCTGGACTTGCTGGTCCATCTCTCGGTACCCTGTGGATCACATCACTGTTAGAGCAAACTCATGGAAAAGCTTGAGAAGACTTTGATGGCCTTTGAAAACATTTAATCCTGAAAGTCAAGTGAAACCATGATTCATGTCACTGCTGCAGGTGTTGTATGAGCAGCAGAGTCAGTGGACGTCCAAAACAGACGAGCACAACGAACAATCAGCAATCTTTAAGAACTATAACTATCAAGTGTATTTAAAGCAAATAACCAAATGGCGTTGTGTTGTCAGAAGATGGCGGTATAGGATTTGTTTGTCGTAATAAAAAGAATAGAAGAAGCCAGAAATGAAACCAGCTGTTTGCAAACTGGTTTTTAAAAAAAAAACTAAAGAAGAAGAAGCAGCAAACAACCTTCGACCATCTCAGGAGAAAAATGGGGAGAAGTTTTCAGGAGTTGTTTGGGGAAGTTGGGATTGTTTCTGAATGTCAGTGAGAAGCAGAAACAGCTCATCAATCATACGAGAAAAATGTTCTCTCAAAAGGTCAAAATCCACCTCAAGCAAGTGTTAATACCTTTTGGTGAAAATGGGAAAGTTTTTCTATAGTTTCCATGAACTTTTCCAATAAAATACTTAATATAGAAATATGGATACTGATCAATCTGTAATGAAAGAAAATAGCAGTCCATCAATAAAATGTATGTTTGAAAATAAAGTTCACTGAAGACTACTTTTAATACTGAAAAATATATATTCCAAATAATTGATTATTATTTTAGTCTGTAAAACTGACAAAAGAAGTTTGAGAAATACTGATCACAAATTCCAGGAGTCTAACGAGATATTGTCAAAAGACTTGTTTAGTGAAAGCAACAATCTGAAACCCAAAAATATCCATCCATCCATCACCTATACACCGCTTAGTCCTCACTAGGGTGGAGGCAGAGGACATCCTGGACAGGTCGCCAGTCCATCACAGGGCTACACTTAGAGACAGACAACCAAGCACACTCACATTCACACCTACGGACAATTTTGAATCACCAATTAACCTCAATATGTTTTTGGACTGTGTGGGAGGAGGCCAGAGAACCCGGAGAGAACCCACGCTGCACCAGGAGAACATGCAAACTCCACGCAGAAAGATCCCGGGTGTCCTCACCGGGACGCAAACCAACGACCTTCTTGCTGTGAGGCAACGATGCTAACTCCTGATCCACCTTGCAGCCTTGCAAAATCTCCAGCTTACAATTACGGGAAAAACAGCAAAGCAGCAAATCCAGGCAGATTTGTAGGTTTTGTTCTTTTCACTAACTGCTTGACTCATAATTTGTGTGTCTCATATTATTATTTGCTACATTAAGTTCAGCCCAAACTTAATGGTTACACAAAAACCCGTCAAAATCGAGGCGTTACAGCTGCTGCACTTTAATGACAAAATGTGTCTAAACATTCCACGTAGTTGGATGCTGCAAACCTGGTTCCAAACAGCAGAAGTCTCAAATAATAAAGAATGGTCTGACTGTACCATTATCATTTTGCTATAGGAGGGGGAAACAAAACACCCAGGCTTGTTGGTATTGCTTTTAAATGATCACAGTTGTTGTAAACTCAGAATACAGCAACTATGATCTGGAAAAACAGTATTGTGGGCCATTATTTTGGGGAACATTTGCATGCAAGGAAGCGAATGAACTGGCAGGCTTGTGTTATTGAACAATGCAAATCTTTAGCAGGACTTGTCGTTTTCAGTGTCTAGGATGCTGCTCTAAAGTTGTTGTTGATCCTGTAGCTAAAAGGATTTAAAAAATGGTGACATGCACATAGTGGAAAGTGGGAAGAATGCAACATGAAACTAGTTGCAGAAATGGCGAGCAAACACCCAGCAGTCTACATCTGGTGAGTCAGACCGAGCGAAGCCTGACAGATCACTGTGTCACACATTTCAACACCTGTCACTTAAATTAGAAGCAAACGCCCAAATCTGTAAAACCGCAGGTTGTTGCTGACTCATGCTCACAGACGTCACACCTGCACAAACCTGTTAAACAGCGCTCACCTTTCCGATCCAGGTGCCCAGCAGGCTGACGCACACCTTGCCGTTGTCGTACAGGTTGGGATTGAGGCGGCCGCTGCACTGCGACAGGTAGCGGAACAGAGGCGGCACAGCTGGGTAGATGTTGGGCAGCTGGATGTCGAACAGGAACAAACCGTCCTCGTAGGGCGTCCGAGTCGGTCCTTTGATCAGAGCTGAGAACAGGTCCTGTGTCGGAGGAGGAAAAGAACTTTATCACACGTTTTTTTTTTTTTTTGATGTTTGCCTTCAATGTAATTTAAAGGAGACTGATGTTCAGCGTGAGGCGCCTGCTGGAGAATATGAATTAGAAAGGAGAGCAAAGCAGCACATCAGAGTCAAGCAAAGCGCTATTTCAGACACTTTCACGCTATATTAAGTGCAACCTTTTTAATCTTTACTGTAAAACACCAGCGTTTGAGCGCGACTCAAAGAAATGAGACGACAACCGGCTGCTTTTATCTCAAACCTATTAAGACAAAGAGGTTCAAAAAGAGTCCGTAAAAGCTTCTGTAATGATGTTTAGGAATATTTTTTTTCATATTTTGTGGGCGTCCATCATCTGTAACTGTGGAAAACTGAATGAGAAATTCACTTTTCTGGTTTCAAATCTACTTTTTCCCCCTTTTTCTCACGTAACACATAATTTGTGCATTTTTAAACACTCAGCTGATTGAAATGTTTTCAACACATTTGCAATCTTGAATCTATCTTTTAAAAGATTTGAAGTAGAGGATATACAACCACAAGCTTATGGGTTATTTAAACATGTTAGAATTATTACATTTTCTTAAGGTCTTACAAAAAAAAGCAATCATACAGTAAATTCTGTCAATAAATAAATATAAATAATAAAATGTTATGTTATAATCTGTTGATTATTTTCTCAATTAATTCCCTGTTTGGTTTAGAAAATGTCAAAAAAAAGTGAAAAATGTTTGTCAGTGTTTCCCAAAATCCCCAAAGATGTTCTCAAATATCCTGTTTTGTCTACGAAGATACAAACATATTCTGTTTACTGTCATAAAGATGCAAAGAAACCAGAAAATATTCATGTTTAAGAAACTAAAATCAGAAGGGTTTAAAAAAATGTAGTCAGACTGATGAATACATATATAACACTGTGAGGTTCTGACTAAACGATGTGAAGTGCTCTTAAATGACTTGTGTTGCGAGTTGGTGCTGCATAATTACAAAGAAAAGAAAACAAAAGAGTACATCTGAATCTACAGATTGTCCAACACTAACTGTCTTTTGCTGTATGTGTGTTTCGCTAAATGGTAAGAACACGAATGTTTCAAAACCAGTAAGTAACTCATGTGCAGTCATGGCCGTGATAACATGAAACCCACCATGCGGTCTTCAAACGTCTTGACCATGATGCCGTCAGGCAGCGACGTCGCCAGCAGAGCCATCTCCTTCCTCACTGTGCTGAAGAACTTCTTTGCCTCCGCTGGCTGGAACTCCATCTTGTTGAATGAGTGAGTCTCTGTGACGGAGAGAGGAGACACGAGGACGATGACTGAACGGTAACGTAGAGTGAAATATAGAAATGTACTGACACAAGTGTGTGGGCAGAGAATTCATTAAGTAGAAGGATGTCTGTGTGTGTGTGTTTACAGAATGAGATGGGAGGCTTCTGCTGTCAGTTATAATAATAAGGAAATGGAAGTCTCCTGTTTTGTGTTTGAGCGATCATCTAGACAAACGTGTACGACACCCTAGTCTATGACAGATCAGTCTAATGGTGGGCAGGTTGAGTTTAACATAAACACAATGATATCTAAAGCTAGCATGGTCAGGGGGAGAGTTCTAGTGTAACGTCCTGAGGTGTCTGAGGAAGAACATTCAGCGCTAACGACCTCAACTATGCTCCAGTGATTGCACACAGGTTCTTTGGCCACAAGAACACAATCGTACAAAATGAAAGTTCGGTAGATGATTTGATAAAGTTTAGAGAAACCAGGTCCAGATAGGACGGTGCTAGACATGTTTACACAACGGGATTGTATCACTGCACAATGAGACAGAGACAGCAGCCAAATGTAAATAAAGTTTTGATTTTTAGATCTACAGACTGAATATTTTGATTCCATCTCATATTTGATTCACACCATAACCGCATAAACACAAGCTTGTTGGAGGTCTTTCTTGGACTATAAGGAGAACATGAAGCAAAACCAGATGATGGGGAAGTAGGGGAGAGGGCGAGAAAGAAAGAAGAACAGGATGAAGGAAGAGTTTATTACATTACAAATGTCCACGTCTCACCTGGGGCCCACTCCAGCACAGAGAACACCTCTCCCTTGGCACTGGTAAAGGTCACGCCAGGCTTGCCGCCACTCTGTTGGCACAGTACTGGTGTGTCACTGAGAAACTCACTGGGCCATTCTTGCCCACCTACTGGTGTCTGTGGCTCCTGCTGGGGCTTTTCCTCTCCAGCTCTCTCTGCCTGAACAGTAACACCAGCAGGTAAGACGCAAAGTAATGACATCAGGCAGCTAAAGTTTGCTTTTATTTATTAATCTTAATGTCTTTCATTCATTTAACGCCTACCTCTGTCCCTGCTCCTCCGCTCCCCACCGCCTCCACCACAGCTTCCATCTTCTCCTCCTCCACGATGGCCACGTTGTCCAGCGTCTTCCTCAGGTTCTCCTGCAGCTTCTTGATGTCGTCCAGGAAGCGTTTCTCCTTGGTCGGCTTTTCGGGGGCCGTTGGCGTCACTGAACTCGCTACGTTAGTCGTGGAAGCAGGCTCGGCAGACGTCGGGGAGGTTGGAGAGCCGCCGGTCCACAGCTGCTCCACAGTCATGTTCTTCAGGCTCTCCAGGATCTTCAGGGCCTCTTTAAGCTCCCTGAAGCCCCGAGAGGCGCCGTCCTTACTGGGCTTCTCCGCTCCGTTGACTGCTCCTCCTGGAGTGGTTCCTGAACAGGTAGAATTTGTGAGTTTATGCTAAACTACTGCAAGTAGAATAACAAACGTGATAAGGAAGGTAAAAATCCAAAGAATTTCTGATGGTACCAACTGACGTCCCCACTGAATTCTACTTTGGTAATCAAGACAGTAGATTACTCAGTGTGGTCCTCTCCAGGAAACATTCAGTCAGTGTTAAAAATATGTAAAATAACTGTAATAAAATATCTGTTACTGCTATGAAATACACTTAAAAAAATAAAATCAACAAGGCATCTTTTCTGTTCTGTCTGCAGCTCTCAGCCTGAAGATCAATGGCTCATAAATGTATACTTTAACTTTATTTTTCCCAGTATTTAGAGCAGTAGGACAGTGTGTTAAGGACTAAAAGTAAACAAGTTGGGTTTTTTGTTTCTGCTTATGTGATACTCAGATCGCTTAATTTTTTTTTTCTCCTCCAGAACAGTGTGAACCCCACAAATCACACTGAGTCGGATCTTTTCATTTCTGATTTGTTGCTCCTAAATCAGATACAGGTCAGATTTTCTGAGCGTGACCTCCATTTGAACAGCCACATCTGAATTTATGTGATATCATTCATGTCACAATCTCAGCACTGCTGCTACTGACTCTGCATACCTCTGTAGGGAGGTAGCAGCCATTGCTCCACAAAGCCATAAATAAAAATGTGGCTCTCCTTCTCCTCATCCTCTTTATCATTTGCTCACAAATTCTGATCTACTGCACGTCTACTTAAAAATGAAATCGCAGACGCTGTCTTTAGTGCCCATTGTGTGATCAGCTTATGATCTGCATATGATGTCTTTGTTTTATTGGTCGTTTACATGTCATGTGTGTCACAGGTCAGCTCAAGACTAGTTCACACTGAAATCTGATATTGGCCACATTTTTAATAGCTAATGCAAAAACGTTGGATCAAGCAACAAATCCGAATGTAAAATGAACATCAACATAAATGTAAATAAGCTCCCCACCTCCTCCAGAGGCAGGACTGGCCACGGCGACAGACGCCTCTGCCTCCTCTCCAGGGACTCCCTTGGTGGGGCTGGTGACCCCGGCCTTGCTGGCCTCCTGTGGGGGGATGATGAACGCTGTGGACCCGGTGGGTGTGGGGGTCGGGGTCGCTGTGTCAGTGATATCTGCATTGTTGATGTGGCTGTCGTCCTCAGTGGTCAGGCCGTTATCCGTCTCCCAGCTGTCGCTCTCGTCCTCCCACTCCTCCGTAGACAAGACGCTGCTCGTTTCTTCCACCGAGTCGTAGTCCGTCTCCTCGATCTCAGACTCCACGTTGTAGAGGTACTGCGTGTGAGTCATTGTCAGACTATCAGCAACAAACATCTCACTTCTTAATGGCAAACGTTACATTCTGTTTCATGCAGGTTGAACACTTACCTGTGGCAGGACGATGGTCACAGAGTTGTCTGCCCACACCACCTCCACTTTGCTGCTCACATCCACCCTGAACACCTGACCTACTGACGTCTGAGAGCAGGTGAGACAACCATTATCATCAACCTTAATAAAACAACACTGTTATGTGTATATTGTGTTGTGCAGACTTGTGAAGCCCTTAAAGGCTCTGGTAGGACTTGACTCAAGCAACAAATCCTCATTACAGACAGTGAGTTTATTGCTCCATAATGTAACACTTTGAAGGGATGAATGCTGTTTTTTAACATCTTACCTGGAGCAGAGCTAAAAAAAACACATCCTTTAGGTTACTCTAAAAGCCCCTGAAGCCATTAAACTGAGTACAGTCAGTCCCTACGGGGGCATGGATGTGCTTTAAAAGTCGGATTATGAAATAGCCTGTCGGTGATGTGGACAGTTTACCCATGGGGTGGTGCAGAGAAAAGCTCAATGTGTTCCCAGTATGTTTTCTATTGGTGTAACTAATGATCAGACACGAGCCCATTAGCTGCACTGAACTACTGCTGGTTCAGACTAAAACAAGTCTATCACTGCTACAGAACCACATTCATGAAGGTTAATCGCTTTAGTTTTGCCGGAACTGTTTTAGAGACGAGTTGATTCAGCTGTAAGAATATTTTAAAGGTTTTAGAAAAGTGTGTCTCACTCCAATAGGAAAGCGTTAGAATGACAGCCGAGTGGTTTTTTGCACTCAGATCTTTTGAAGCAACAAGAGACGCAGCACTGCAGAATGTTAAAACCTCCGCCAGCTCAGTAGAAGACTGGATCCAGACACAAAAACAGCATTCTCTTGTTTCACCGAGCAGGCACCTTCAGTAAAAAGCAAATAAAAATCTAGCTGAAAGAAAAGCAGCTTTTCACCTCATTTTCACAGTCGTTCTGTCCGTTCTCCGAGTTCCATATTCTGATGACGATGTCGGTCGTGCGGAAGTGGAAATCTGGATGATCAGCGATGTCGTACACGCTGACGTCCTCCTCCACACCGATAACCTAGATTCAGACGGAACAAAAAACGCATACATTTATGCACCCCAGTGAGGCGCCTCCTCCCTCCGCAACACTTAAATCTCATTTTTCATTTTCTGACAAACAACATTTTTCACAGTCTTTAATCACAGTTCTCCTGACTGACCTCCACGTCGTCACTGGTGGAGTTCAGTTTGATCCACTTTACAACACATGTTCTGCCCTTGTGATCGCCAGATTGGATCACGCCGTACACTCCGGGGTCCTGCAGGGCTTGGGCTGAGGGGAGCACATACACACACGAATATAATTTAGATGCAAAATAAAATACCCAAAGCACATACACTGGAAATCTCTAAAGGCAAGTAACTGTATTTATTAGGGGAAAAAATGGAGTCTTTGGTTGGCTGGAACATCCCTGTATTTCCAGTGCATTTCACAGAACACACAAACCTGGCACAGTTTCTCCAAATGACCTACATCCTGCACTACCGGCGTCGTCATGTAGGTACGAGGTGGCAGAGTGGCCCATATAAAATACACTTTAGCACACGAAGACAGAAATCTGACAATTACTGGTCTGAAAAAGTCAAACGGAACGACAACAAAATCGAACAGCAAATCCAAATATTACAAAACAGTGACTTCCGTTAATTGTTTCTTACGTCGTTTGTCTACTACGAAGTCCCCGGGGCAGAACTCGTGGCTGTCGAGGTGCTGAATGGGGATGAGGTCATTTGATCGGATCCCCTTCTCCACCCGACCGTCCTTCCACATCACATCAGCCGTGGTCTTTGTGGACACAACTTCCACCGCCACCCTGGAAAAGAATGTTAAAAAGAGTTTGGTTTTAGCTGTAAATGTACAGTTTCATCTCTTTTCTTGTATTTTTCATTTTTCTCTAATCTTCATCCAACCACTACATTTGTCTCTTCTCAGAATCTCGATCTTTCCTCTTTTTTTTTTTTTTTTTTTGTCTCTTCTCAGAATCTCGATCTTTCCTCTTTTTTTTTTTTTCCTTTTTACTCCTCAGTTCTCCTCTGATCATTTTATTCTGACGCACCACCATCCATCTCTGGTCCTGCTGCATCAATTTAGATCCTTTGATCCTAAAAACTGTCCGATGCGAGTCTGACAATGTGACAGGATGTGCAGCACCAAAGTGGAGTGCGGTGAACCTTAACTGCTGACATTTTACTGTTCGGTTCCTTTAACTTAACTTCAAATTGATCATTCTTTAATGTATTCAGAACAAAAAAAAGAAAACAAACAAAGGAAATGATTGATTTACAGCAACTCTGTCAAGCACACAGAGGTCAAAAACACATTTCATTTTATAATTTAATGTGACACACGGCACACAGATTCATGCGAACTGAAAGCCCAGACTAGAGTGGTGCAGTCTCACACTTAAAAGGTTTTATTTCGGAGAACTTTAATTTAATTGGAACCTAAATGGCAAAGAAGAAGAAACCAAGACAGTAGGAGAGTGTGTGGAGTGAGTGTTTTTGTAAGCTGAGGACGAGTGTGTGGTGGAGGAAATGACAGCATCAGTAGTCTGCAGTGAAAGGCTTTCTGTGTGTGCGTGCTGTCGAGCTCCAGTGTCACTGACGGACATATCGAGACACAAGCCCTTTGACAAACAAGAGAGGTCGGACAAACAGACCAACACAGTGTTGGCACATTTTACAGGGAAAGCAGCTGTGATTGCTTGATGTCACTGGTCTAAGTTTGACATCGCCTTCCAGGCAGAGCAGCAGGAGGAGCATCGGACTGATCAGCCTTAAACGTCTCTCAAGTGTCAAAACGGTTTAGTTGATCATCAGACTTCATCAAGTCCCAACAGTGATCTGATGAGTCACTAAATATACAGAAAAGATGGCCAACTGTGAAACAGAAGAAGAAGAAATGAGGAGGATATGAGCGGATTAAACTAGAGGCGAATTCCAACACTGGATTTTTGGGGCCGATGCGGATCTCAGAGAGCAACAAATTCTGACATTGACACATCAGACAATATGTTAGATTCATACATAACAAGGGAAAATAATGAGGTAATTATTTCTTGACTTTCACCAACTAGTTAGCGAAATATATTACAGACAAAGCTGGGCTATGCACCACCTTTTGCTCAGCACTGATACATACTCGGCTACATGTGCTGCAGACAGTGCTCAACGTATTGCCAACTATGGAGTCGGAGCTGCTCTGCAGGACAAACTATGTACTGACACCTTCTCTCAGTTACCCCAAGCATCTTTTTCTATATTATGTTCTGTAAAAAGAAAGTTTCCATATCAGCACATATCTGATAATGTACCCTCCAATATCTGTGACAGGCCAATACTGACACATCATTCAGGCTCAAGATAAATCATTAGGGAAGTGGCAGTAATGGATAGTAGCATCTACTGTAAAGACGGAAAAAAAAAACGTACAAAAAAGGACAAAGTAATAACAGAACACAGTACAAGGAATGACTGACAACAGTGCATTCCCTGCGGTTCACCCACCGGTCTCCAGGCTTGAACTCGCGCGAGAACTTGGTCCTCTTCTTCTTGTGCTTCCTCTTCAGGTTGCGGATGGACAGCGGGATGCTCTTCTTGCGATTCGTTCCCAAACCGCCGCTCTGAGACGACGCCGTGGAGCTCGCCGATGACGTCAGAGAGCTGCAGCACAAGTTACAGTCGCATACAATCGTGTTGTAAGAGACAGCAACTAACATTAATCCCCATCATCGATTATTCTGTTGATTACTTTCTTGATTATTTGATTATTTTACTTGTCCTAAATGTCCTTTTACTGTTTTTCAGAACACAAAGTAACAGCTTCATATTGCATGCTTCGTGTTGAGGCCAAAAATCCAGTGATCAGTTCAATCATGTTTGTGGATAATCAAATAAAGTTTAAGTGAAGTGGGCTTCATGTTAAACTATCTGAAGTTTATACAGAAACCTTCTTGTGTACATTTCAGGACTCTAAACACATACAGGACATGAACGACTGTAATGAAATCAGTGCAACAGATTTACACTAAACACAACACTAATGAAGCTTTTAAAGGTTCACATTTTTCCCAGATGATGATTCAGCTCTGTGTCCTTTTTTTTTTTTTAAAGATTTGTTGGTATTTTTGCCAATATTTTGACAGGAACAGCAGAGGAAAATGGCAGTAATTAACTGTGGATCTGGTATTTACAGTGTATGCGCCCATGTGCCATGCATCCAAACCACTCAGCTGTCGGGTCATCCCAGCTCCGTGGTCATTAGAAGCCGAACAGACACGACTGCAACTTTTTTTTGAAATTGCTGCAAGGCTCTCCGCCAGCCGTTAGTCTCCGGTTTCCAAACTGACACAACATATTTCCATCACTTTTACTCCAATGTAACATTAAATTAAAGTGTACTGGCTGATATCTTCCTTTCTCTCGTACACTCATGTAATCGACTTCATTAAGTAGCTCAGCTTCATCAATAATGCAAATCAAACTTGAACATTACTGGATTTACACTTTACATTTGCGAGGTAACTCTGCTGGGTAAACTACAATAAGGAGAATAATTAGTCCCCGACTCCTGCAGGCGTGGTGTAGGGCGCCTATTAGACTAAATTTCTTCCAGATGTAGAGACATGAATTAATGTAACAGTGACACTTTGTTTAAATTTGTAAAACTCTGCACTGATGAGGAGGGACACAGTAGATTTAGAAGAAGGATTTAGAGATGTTTCTGTTATTTTGTCCACTAAATCTAATCATGTAATTCACTTCAGCACCTCAAACTGTGGCCTCAGACATTCTCTGGCTTGTGTAAATACCCTTTACATGGAATCTCAATAAAATCCAAATAAATTAAACTTTTGCTGTAGCATTAGTGCACCACATCCCAATAATATATGTTACTGTTCACTGTTATGCACTAAAACTGATTATATTTGTAAAAGGTCATGCAAATTGTGGCTGGTGTGCGTTTATCGAGTGACTCCCACACGTCTCCAATCACACCGTTGAAATTGTAAAACGAGGATGGAGCACGTGAGGCGTGAGCAGACCTGGTATCGTCAGTGTCTTCTGCAGCCTCGTCGTCGGCGTCCTGCTCCCCGTGCTCAGCCGAGGAGTCGTTGGTGTTCTGGGAGTCCGGAGGGTTCTGGATGGGAACCACAGGGCCGTTGTTGTTGGGGTGAGACGAGTCCGTCTGCTCTGATTTGTGCTCGCCTGGTTGGAGACAAACATAAGATAAGACTGAACTGCATGAATCCCAAAGGAAAGTCCTGAAAGGGGGATGCATTAGAGGGATGCATTAGGACGCCAGTGTAATTCAAGGATGGCTAATTTTCAAAAACAGGAAGTTAAACAGCACTGAATGTGACAAAAAACAGTCAGAAGTGAGTATATAGAGTGCAGATTATTGATGTTTATCCATCCAGAAAGTAAAATAAATTCTACATTAAAGCATATATGTGAGGAACATTGTACAAGGAGCCACAAATAAACTCGACTTCACATTATTTTGCTGCGGCTTTCTAGAGAGACACAAAGTCCTCCTTCATTTTCCTGAATCATGCAGACAAATATATTTCTCAGCCGAGGTGTTCTGCATTTCAGCACAATTTCCAATTAGTCTGTTCCCTCTGTACCAAACTGCATTTGTGGAAAGGACTGCCTGATGTCTCACAGGAACTTTAAATAATTCACACTCTGCTGTGCACGGAGATATTTAGTTCTCGGCTGTTTTTTGAACGTAAATGCGATGCAGATTTTTTGAAGCTATCATAATAATCATATAGCCGTGCCCAGAACATATGCATTTCACTAAAATAAACAGATTCAGTAGATGAAAAATCCAACAAGTGACTAATTTATCTATGCAGTACTTCCTCTCTCATTTACTGATTCTGTTTGCGTTACAAGACATTATTTTATTTCAACAGACCGAACTCCAATCAAAGACATATCCACTGCATTTCCAAACTGTAACCTCTTGTTTGTTATTAGAAAATATCTCCACCAATGCTGTCTTCTCTGTAGAAAATTTAAGGTTATATAATCGCAGATGATAAATTACTGTATGTTCCTCAGAGTGTTGTTTGGTACCTTGTAAGTCAGCGTTCTCCGTCTTCTTCCCAGACTCCTTCTTGAACAGCCTTTTCAACTGCAGGAGACACACACACACACACACACACACAATGTGAGAGCTTGAAGATGATCAAAAAAAAAATAGCTCGTACTTCGCAAGCGCTGTCAATCACTGTAACACCGAGGGGTCTCCAGGATTCGAGAACAACATTCTTAAAATATACCAGGAGTCACGATCATCTCAGTTCCTTAACATGAAAAACAGGTGATTCTAAGTGTTAAAGCGCTGCCGCCCTACATTTATACACAAGATAACACAGAATAAACCAGTTCTTTATGTACAAGAGCATCACTTGAATCTGTTCTCTACTATACACGAATAAACTAATTAATGCCTACCTTTCTGACAACAGGGTCTTCGGGCAGAACAGGGGCACCCTCGTGTCCTTCACAGGTCATTCGTGTGGCGTCGCCTTTGGCAGGGAAGACATAGAGGGCTCTCTCTCCCAGCTGCCTCTGGGTGTGGTCATAGTAGCCCAGGCGCCTCACCCTGAACCCAACCAGGAGAATGGCTTTACTCAACAACACTGCATACTTTTATGTTAGTCGGGAACGGAAGTGGATCAGAATGTATTTGTGAAAAAACCTTTTCCTAAAGATGTCCATATAAAATACCATAAATAACCACATTTGATGAGCAAAGACATTCATCCAGATGCAACCTTTTTAACAGTAACTGCACCGACCTGCAGAGATTTTCTTGCGTGATGGTGGAAGGAGGTGGATAGACGCTGTCAGAGCCTTTAGGAGAGTAGCTCTTAGTGATCCACGTCACTTTCAGCTCCACCACCTTCACCTGAGGAAAACAGTGGGCATTTAAACAACTGAAGATACAGAAACTACAAATCAAGTATGTGACTCTTGTTACAGCATGTCATTAAAAAAAGAGGTACCAAAGAAGAAAACTTTGTGTGCAGTGTGTACTGTGATTACGGTAACAACCACAAACTCATCACACAAAAAAACACAATGGAGGATTTATAATAACTCTCTGAATCCAAAATCCTGCTGGTGGGTTTTAAAGGTGTGCTACATAGTTTTTTTTTTAAATTGCCAAAACTAGCACTTTATCTGATAATAAAACTGTAAGAACAGGAGGAATTGTCAGATTTTCAATGGTCTGACAAAACTGATCTTTTCACATGTGACCTTCAGTTACAATAACCAACCTAACGAACCAAATCTGAGCTTCAAATCTTGAGATTACATCAAAATCGTAAAAAATAAAAACAAAAAATTAGCCATTAGTGACTCAGCTGCTGCCAACAGTCACATGAAAAAAACTGAGGCTGAACTGCAGGCTGTGTTCCCACAAAGTCGACTTCGTTACTGTAACCAAAGGCCCCTAAATGCTTTCTCTCTCTCACACACAAAAAGGATGCGGCTGTAAAAAGAAGATAATCATTAAGAATGTTAAAAGGACTGTCCTCGTTGCCTTACCTCTTCTACTACCACCCTGAATTTGCACTTCCTGCTGAGGACAGGTTTGACCCCCGACAGCCACTGGACATTAGAGAAGACTTTAGCTGGACCAATGAGGACCTGGCCTGGGTAAAAGCCGTACGCCTCATCGAAGAAGAGACCCTGAGAAACGAGAGAGCGACAAGAATATAATCAAACAAAGAAATGAAACCAAACATTTGCCTGTATTACAGTTACAACACAGCATTATCATGATTGATATTTTAGATTAGATATTTTTAGATTCACAACAATGGTCACTTCTATCTGTGTGGATACGACTGGCCCATATTTTGAAAAGCATAAAGTTTCTGAAGTCCTGTAAGATCCCATTTTCATTTTTTTTTTTGGAGGGCATGAGTTTGGAGATGTGAGGCAAAGATGTGTTGAAAAATGAATATCATATCTGGACAAAAAACTCCTGGTTGATTAAATGTAATGATCTGCATTAGCAGTAGAAAATAAAACAATATATATCATATTGTCTATAAAAGGGCTGAAAGGTGGCTCGGTGGTTAGCACCGTTGCCTCGCAGCAAGAAGGTCGCCAGTTCGCTCCACCCCCCGGTGACCCTAGTGAGGATTAAGTGGTGTATAGATAATGGATGGATGGATTGTATATAAAAGCTGATGTAAGTCTTCAGAAAATATTTTGTTAGATGTTTTATATCAACAACTATTTGTAAGTGCTCTTGTGAACAGTCCTGTGTATCACCAAAAAAATAAATAAATTAGCAGCTTAGAAAAAAGTGAAACTACAGATTGAAATGTAAAGTACAAACAATGTCACACATTCAGACACAGATGCAGACGACGGATATTTTCTCAAACTAAAGTGAGAATTAAATGAAATGCAAACATCAAGGCAATCTAAACAGTTAATTTAAGTGTAACTGGACAGAATACTACACTACAAATAGTCTTTTCCTGTAGCAACACGATTAAAAAGATGAATTTAGAGCCTACATGAGGCAACATCAGTCACCTGGTTCTACAGCTTCTGTGTGGGCTTTAGCTTTTCCAAAAGTGATCAGACCCTTGAGCAAGTGCTGTTCTGAAAGAGAACTTATGAAGAAAGTGTACCTGAAGTGACAGATAAGCGCTCGTGGCTACGTACCGAATCACTGACATGCGGACAGACGTCGTAAAGCTTGGCACCGTCTTCCACACTCATGGAGCACCTGGAGGGAGGCGAACAGAGAGAGAAGGAGCGCCGGTTGACATTCACCGGATTTGGCACTGATGAATGTGAACCAGCAAGCGAACGCTCACACGCTCAGACAGACGACGGCATGGTGACAGTACGCACACACACACACACACAGACAGACACACACAGAGTCTACCTGGCCCCGTTTGACAGCTTGAGGATGATGTGATTGGTCAGGTCGTACACTTTCCCCAGCCAGAAGTCGTAGGCAATGTAGTCTCCGTACATAAAAGACTGAAAGGAAGCCGGCAACAGGAGCGCGATCAGTTTCCATTTTATCACAGTATTACCTCAGACACAGTAATTATAAAAAGGGGCGCAGTAATAGCTTGCAGGTCAGACTCATTTTCTACACGACTCTGATAAACTAACACTGCTGAGGCAACAGCTTATTCACTGCAGCTCCCTGAAACGCCAACACAGTCATGGTTGGTTTAGCTTCAGCAAGTTCTCTGGACTGACTCTGTTATTTATTTTAAAAAAAAACTGAAGGCAATCAGTTTAGGATCAAAATCTAATCTGGGTACTAAATAATACATCAATATCCAATGAGAGCAAACATTTTGTGTTCATCATTTATTCAAACACTAGATTATCCTAAACATAATGCAATAAAACACTTGCTCTCTGTGCTGCACACCTTGATACGCCACGACCAGCTGGATTTTATCATCACTGACTGATTAAAATTAATATTGATTAACTGCTGCTGCTGATAAATGCAAGTATTTAGAAGTGTTTCTTGTGGTATCAGAGAAACAGTAACATTTTAAAGGTCTGTCATTTTTGAAATCTCTTCAATACATGCAATGTGCAACAACAGGATGCTGGGATTAGCGGATTTTCTCCAGAAAACAAATCTTCTGATATTAGGAAATTACCAGCAAGGCCTTCTCTGCTGGCCTAAACTATAACTGAATCTCTGACTTATGGAACATTTTCCCCATTAATCTTTTCCCATTATTCCCAACAGTCTAGTCTCTTCAGAGTCTCTGGGCTGTGGTGCTTCCAGCAGCGTATGTCTATAATTAGAGCTTTTTTTTTTTTAATCCAATCATATTTCAGCCATCATGTGTTGCCAGGGTCACATAAATCTGCCCTGAGGCCTTCAGAGAAGTGTAGGCCCATCCGCCCCTGTAGCTTAAAATGTGTTGTAATGAAACTGCTGCTTTAACTTTTGATGAAAGAAAGGAGGATGGAGTTTGTGTTCAAATAATTAACAGGTTTTGGTGAGTAAAATATGTTTTTTGGGCATTTTATTGGGCTGATATTGATGCTCCTGTTAGATGTGCAGAAACTTTTGACAGCGTAGCGAGTTTCTTATGAAAATTTGGACGTTTTACTGTAAAATATGTCAAATTTTCCAAACACGCAGCTTAAAAGACAGCATAGCGGGCCAAGACACATCGTGGTGAGAACCCTGATGTGATGTAGCTGTGGCTGCAGTGAAAAGAGACTTGAGTTGTTTTAACGGGGTTTCTTGCTTTAGTGATGACATTCATTCTTGCTACATGAGATACCTGTCTGCGATGCAACGTCCTGTTATGCTCCCTTTCTGTATTATATAGATGGTTTCTAAAGCCTTGGTGTCATAATGACAGTAATAACAGGTGGTTTGATTCAGGCAGGACGCCACTGAAGGCCTCGGAGGAAAATGCACGGCCCGCCACTGGAAATTACTGACCTGTAAAATGAAGCTCAACCACAAGATCTTGCATGCGAGTATTGCGGTCATTGTTACGGTCTTACCCAGATGTGCTGCAGGTCTTTGCTGTTGACTGGATACAGTACGCAATTTGTTCCCACTAACTTCACTGCACACTCGATGTCGATGTTAGTCACAATACCGCACTGGTTGTCCTGTAAGCACAGACGCACATCATAGACATCAGATTACGCTGTTAACAACAGATGCTTTCAGGTGCTGCTATGTGAACGAGACTACAAGTGGTGACCTTGAACCAAAAGAAAAATCTCAAAGCTCAACCCTCTGAATCGCAAAACCTGTCGCAGTTGAAAAGCGTATTATCTTTGGGAAAAATTCCACCATTTAATAGCACTAAGAACCAGAAGAGCAGAACAAATGATCAGGCTTTCAACTTTCTGAGGATCCTTGAACTAACCACGCGTGACTTTCGGTTGCATAGGAAACAATAACCAAATATAAGCTTAAAATTGTAATGTTTCCTCAAAAGCAATTATCTGCACGAACTAAATTCTGTAACAAACTAAAAAATGTTGGCCTCCTGATCACAGAAAAGAAATTATGAGTGATGAGTGACAAAACTTCTTCACACTTTTCAGTTGAACTGCAGGTTGTTTCTACTCAGAGCAGAGACAAGTACGGAAACAAACAAATATGTGCATAGCTAAATATCTGTCGTATGCAGAGCCATCATTTTTCTTTCAATGTGAACATCTGTGGGCACTTAGAAAACTGTTGTACATGTTTATTCCTTGTCTACATTTTTGGTAAATAAACAAAGACATTCATCTGTTGTCATTATAACTCGTGGTCGAGCTGCATGATGTGGAAAATGAGCCCACAGGGGACAAAAAAATGTGACAGCAGCAGGAAACACCCAGAAACTGCTTGGGGTTCTGAGGGTTAATGTTGAATTTATATTCAGATTGTGAGCTGTTGCACTGCGTTAAAACAAAAAGTCTCCCCTTAGTCCTCTGTGAGTGCCGACCTGCGGTGGTATTCCAGTCATGTCTGAGGCAGCAAATGGAACAGAGCGCTGAACAGTGACATGACTGACAAAGAGAAACACTTGATTGAAAAAGGTAGAAATAACGAGGCAGAATGAGAGGGGTTGCAGAGAGAAGGTGAAAGAGTTATGAACAGAGCGAGGACTGCACTTACATTAGAATTGTTCCGTCGCACGATGTCTCTAATGACGATGGATCGATCTTCAAGTTTCAGCTGCAAAACAAAGAGCAAACAGGTTGAGGAAATGGTGGTCAGGACATCTGGGTGACTTCATCTTGAAGACATCTTACACCAACACAAGAGCTGTAACTGGATCGTCAGTTTCTTATAATAACGCTGCAGAGGACAGTGCTGCTCATCAGCAACTCTGTAATGAACCCTGGAGAACAACTTAAAAATTAACAAGCTTCGTATTCACACTCAGCCCATGACAACAGGGCAGATGTGATCGGTCACACCGGCGCCCTGTCCCTGCTCGCGGCCGTCAAGACGGCAACCTGCACACTCGGCAGAGCTGTAACGCCCCCGGAGAATGGGTAAATGATTTTGCTGTCCAAACAGAGAGACACATTACACTGCGCTGACCAGCAGGAGCCTCCAGTGTTTGTGTGAGTCAGCAAACACATTTTCACTTTCAATTATTAATTAACACATTGAAATAAAAATCTGGATTTGGGAAAACAACATGGTTTACAACTACACAACGGACACACTGATGGACAGACGAAGCCAGAACTTGCACCGATCAAAGAGGGCACACAACAGAAGCTGTTGGACTAAACTTGGCAACAGCTCAGCTCCCAGAGGAAAAACCTTGTTCCTGTGAACTGGATTTTGCTGTGTCACACTCTGCCTGGATGCAGCCATTTAGACTGAAGGAGCCCTGGTGTGTTGTTTCAGGTACCTGTAAACCACTGAAGTACAACTGAGTAACACATCGATGAGCTGGGGGCACAGTGGAAAGGATTTTAGAAATCAGTGACAGTCATTTCACCCACTCCAACCTGGATCATCAGGTAAACAGTACAAATACTGCAATCATGTTAGACGGAACTGCACCAGGCATGTGGCCTACTTGTGTGCATCAGATTGGCAAACACAGAACCCCGAAAAACTTGTGTTTCACTGCCAGAACCTTGAGCTTTGTGCTGACGGAAGAATTAAGAAGAATTAAGGGGCTGTGCTTTTTTCAGTCAGTGCTCTTGTCTGTCTGAACACAGCCTGAAGCAAGTCTTAATTCAAAATGAACTGGAGAAAAATCAAAGACAATGCACATGCAAGATATGAAGTCAAATAGTTCAACAAAAACCTTCCTCTGCTGATGTTTGAGGGCTAAACGTGTTTAACCACCTAAACACTATCCTGACTTCTATCAGTCCTCCTATAAACCAGCGCAGTGATTATCTCGACCTTCATCTGTGTTATCTTTAAAACAGATTAGGCAGATATGCTATCATATTATAGCATAATCTTATTAACATGTGGGTTTGTCCTTTATAGAAGCAGCTCAAAGTCTCATGACCCCTCCTCCTCCTGCTGCACTGCAACACTGAAAGTCACCCAACTTTCACACCAATGCCATCCATTCACTATTCAGGACAAGCACCTCGCAGCGTCACTGCGTCTCGTTACTGCAACTGCTAATTGATAAGACAAACACGGGGGATGATCAGTAAACCCGACTAATGTGTTTAATGGTCTCGTTCTGCATTTCCCATCTGTTTTATCATAAACTGCACCACAGAGTACTTAATGGGTTCAAATCATCATGTAGCAGATAAAACCCAAGGAATTAAAGTTGCTCTAACTCAGGTGAACAGAAACCAACATGGTGGCCAACCATCCGAGATAAACCATTTCCTCCATTAGCTAATTGGTTGATGCACTAACACGCGTAATATGCAGCTCAGTGTAAATATCATCACTTTGCCGTACACATAATAACTCAGAACAAGACTCCCACTATGCTATAAGTGGACAGACTTTTGGTTTGACAAAACAAGCCATCTTGTATTCAGATTTTTTTTAGTATTTCACACACTAAACAATTCATTTTTTTTGTCCAAAAAAAGAATCCCGATTAATTAGAGAGAGAGAGAAGTATCATTATAGCTGCAGCAATATTCTGCTGGCAACTAATAATACAAATGACTGTTGCATCTGCACTGGAAATAACCAAACAAACAAAAAAAAAAAGCTTCTATCTCGTAGAGGGAGACGTCTTTAGTGGTTTGGGAGATTAAAAAAAGCAATTAATATGAGCAACAGAGCTGCAGCAATTAATCAATAATTTGTCGGCTATCAAATAATCTCCAACTATTTTGATAACAAATTAATCGGTCTGAGTAATTTTTTAAGGAAAAAAAAGTCTAAAAACTGTGATTCCAGCTTCTTAAATGTGAATAATTTCTGGTTTCTTTACTCCTTTACGATGGTAAACTGAATATCTGTGGTCAAAACAAGACATTTGAGACTTTGGGAAACACTGATCAACGTTTTTCATTATTTTCTGACATTTTTTTTAACCAAACAACTTATCAATTGTTCAAGAAAATAATCGTCAGACTAACCCTCTAGTATGGAACAATCGTCGACAAAAGTTGAACCACGCAGGTCATCTCTTGTGCTTCTGCTGGATTTCTAAACCTTTCAGATTTAGGTCACTGACTGAACTGAGGAAGGAAAAAGAGCCCACATAAAATCTACTGATCTGAATAAAGTCACTGCAGAACTCAATGGTAGAAAGTGAACAACAGTTTTTATAAAAAAGAGCATGGACATTAAATATCCTCATAGAGGCAACCTGCAGGAGGTCTTGCTCTTAATCTACAAGCTACAGGAGGAGCACAGAAAAGTTGCAGCGAACGGATGACGGATGGAAGTAGAGGAGGAGAAGGTCATTAAGAGCAAAGAGAATGATGACATAAAAAAAAGGCATGACAGCCTGCTGCATGTGAAGTACTGGCAGGGAGGGTGGGGAGGAACTTTAGAGGAAAACTAGAGGAGGACGTCACCTTAGGGCTGATGATTGAGGGACGATAATGCAGTTTGCATATACAGTCATGACTCGACAATCCAACCCTGAACAATCAGAAAACCTTGCTACCCGACAGGTTTTTAGGAAAAACAAACGTAACCCAAGAAAAATAGCCTTAACAAACCGACAGCCCTCGATTCTGACACCAACATGACATTTTATGTCACAAATAAGGATAACGGTGTATTATCTGACTGAACAAGCAAACAGATTGGCTACATTCAGACTGCAGGACTTAATGCTCAATTTCGATTTTTATGTGAAATCAGATTTTTTGCGAGTTCGTTCACATTTCCAATTAAATACAACTTGTATGTGATCTGCTGTGTGAACTTCATACGACCCAAAAGTGTCCCGCATGCGCAGAAGAGCACACGACGATGTCATACGCAGCGAGCATGCTCAGTGTTTGCGGAAGTAAACACGGACGGTAACGATGGAGCGTATCCACCACTCCCCCGCCGCTGATGGTGGAAACAGAATTGTGACCACTATCCTAATCTAGCATCAGCAGCCAAGTACTGCCTCTGTGTTCTGGCCACTTCCACCCCATCGAAGCACTCCCCCAGGATGGAAGGGTCCCCCAGGACAGCCCGAAAAATCAAAAAATCAACAATAAATGGGCCCGAAAAACCAAAAAACAAAAAAGGCTTATCAAAACAACCCCAACAGGTAATAAAAAAAACAAAAAAAAAAAAAAATAAAAAAAAAAGAACCCTCAAACAACAAACCCCGCCTGGAACCCCAACCCCCCCCTCCCAAACCCAAAAACCTGCCAACCCAAAAAAAAAAAAGGTTTAACATTTTTTTAGTCACAACTGTACAAGGAATATTGCTGCTATCAGAGATGCAACAATTAGTTAATTTATTAGTCATCAGTTAGAAAAATAATGGACAATTGATTCATTGTTTATTCATTCATTAATTTTCAAGCAAACATGTAAAACATCTCAGCCAATGTCAGCTGGGATAAAGCAGATACAACTAATGAATAGATGCACATTGAGAAAGTAACAAGTGGCTGATTAACTGATAATGAAAACAGTCATATTAGTTACAGCCCCTAGATTTCTATACTGACTTCACTGGTGGACTCTTCTGTTATAAAATATCCACAAACACATCCTCCCTTCTTGTGACTTAAAGGAAAATTCCTGCATTTCTCGCCTCACCTCCGCTGTGGAGACTAACAACGCTGGCAAAACACCACATATTAACACAATGAGTACAAATCCATCCAAAAGCAAACACACAGAGAGTAGCAGCAAGGATCAGGTGACCACAGCTGTGAGAAGAAGAAGCAGCTCATATATTGAAATCATATCAGATGCAAAAAAAAAAAAACACAATGGCGATGGTACAATTTTGTATGATTGACGTTTTGGTATTTGTGTGAAGACGCCCAAACATCCAGCCAAGAACAGAACTGCAAGCACCTGCGAGCGCTTTCACACACACTCCTGGGTCTTTGGCAGCGCTTCTGCTTTGTCTCGCACTGTAACAGTACTCCACTGAATTCTGGGAGAGGAAGAGCGACTGAGTGTGTGTGTAGTGGATGCGATCGATGGGTCGCCATGTTCCTTTGTAATCTATTAAACAGCAGCCCGTCTTCTCCTCGTGTCTCCACTGCTGGGAGTAACACACACACACACACACACACACACACACATCTCCCTTCTCATCTAAACCTTTTAGCTGGGAGAAGCTCGAGAACATTTTTTTTCCTGACACACACACACACACACACACACACACACACATACACACAACTCTTCTTCATTAATATTCTTTCAGTGCATCGTGCTGCAGTGCGCTACTGTAGTAACAGATTTCCTCACCAGTTCAGAAACACTGCGTTTAAATCAATAGCGTTTACTCTAATCTGCATCAGTCCACTGAAGACCACAACAGCCCCTATTACAAATTATGACCAGGATATTACATAGGTGTAAAAAAAATTTAAAAAAAATGTCTGGTTGGCAGTTGTGTAACACACAGAAAGGTCACAAGGAGAATTTTTCAGAGGGCTACCTCGCATTAACTTCCTCTGACCTGCAGAAAAAGGCTGAGCTGTAATATGATACAGCATCACGTATGATGGCAGCGTGTGACTCCAGCCAGAGTCGGTGCACCCTCAGCTGTGGCCCCTCAGATAAAAATCTGCATCACTGCATTT